TTCCTCACCATGTCCTCTAGCGTGCTCTCCCTGACGTGTAAGAATCGCTTGTGCCACAGACTGAGAGATGAAGCACCATCCGGACGAGTCATTGCGTTGCAGATGACTTCTTTTTGTAAGTGATCAGCCCGCTTCGACCTCAGCTTGTACATACCATTCTCCTTTAATTGCGACTCCAAGTTTCTTCAAGTAGCGGTTAGACTGGTCGCGCGACATGGAGAGAAAGTATCCGAGTTTAGTCTGCATGTGATCTAAAGATATCAAATTTGCAATGGCGCCCGGAACATAGTAGACCCATGAAAGGATACGCTCTTATAGGCGTCTCGTATCAGCATTGGTAATTGTAAGTGTGAAATCCCCAACTTGATTAACGTTGACGGAGCTCCCGTTCGCACATCGCATCACTCAACCGTTACTAAGCGTCTTCACTTCGCGGAAACACGATTGATTGTTGCAGATATTAATCTGGGCACCACTATCCAAGCACCACTCACTATCCTGCGATGCTGTTCGTGCCTGTAGTGTTTGCGACGTCTCCATCGATGTCATTAGCGCCGTCGGACCTCCACTATCAGTCTTTCGGCCTCCTCCTTGACCACTAGGCGGCCAATAGCCATGACGGCCATGACGCAGGCGATCTTTGCCACGGCTGCGCTTGTTAAGTTGCTGATGACCTCGTGGGCATTTCCAGTGCCAGTGCCGGAACTGGTGACAATTGGAGCACAGACAGCGCTGCATTGTGCAGGGTCTGGCATTGATTACGACGCAAAGAATATTGCCTTGCTTCTTGTCTCCTACAGCGTTGTCCACCATCATTCTGGCCATCAACAAACTGAAGTACCGGATTGTTTTGCTGCAGAGTGGGGGTGATATTTGCTGCAGCTGTATTGCGTACCCTGGGGGCCACGCATATTTTCTTTCTGTTCTCTGGTAAGTAATCGGCCACAAACACGACCAGCCTCAAGAGCGGATCGCTTCAGACGAGCAGCTACTAATTTATTGCTGAAGTCGGGGAACACTTCCAGAGCATGGTAAGCAGTAGTCGTGCCAGTTCCGGATCCTCCAGCGGGAACCCTAGGGTGACGAGATCCTCCTGCAACCTCATGACTGCGTCGATGTACGTGTCAACCCGCTCCCCCTGAACCAACTTGCGCGAGACCATCTCACTCTTGATCATTAGGTCATTCTTTTCGGCGCTGCCGGCATTGTACTTCTTCTCGATCTCTTGAAATAGTACCGCCGCGTTGCAATTAACCAGAGGTCGCCTGTAACGGCCTGCAAGGCGAGGTCCAAGAGATCTAGCAATTGATTCTTGGGCTTTAAGCCACTGCGTTTCCCAGCGACACTTACGGCTTGAATTCCAAAAGTCCTTAAATAAAACTTTCTCTGTCACGATTGGCCATAGTTTCTGGACCTTAAGTTTGAGCTCAGTCATTGTTCTCCAGAGTTCGTAGTCGTCCACACCCGTAAGTTTTGGAACCTCTAAACTTGAGATGTGGCGCTCATCGCGTCGCTTCTCTTTGAAAGGCTTCTTCTTTTTGTCGTCTGAGCGGCTCACCTTCTTTTTGCGCTCAGAAGATGAGTTGGACGTGCCACTGCTCGATGAGAAAGTTGAATCGTCGGAGACGTCGAAGCCTTCGGAGTCACCCAAACTCTCATTTGAGCTGTTAGATTGCTGTGACGTCGATGATGAAGGGTTACATGCACTGTAGCTCTCCTCGTCGGCGTCCGCGCTGACCACTCCTTGGTCAGCGTTGGAATTTGCATCCATCCGTCCCGTTGAGCCACGGAGGCGTGGTAGGGACCTGTTTGGGCTCATAATCTTTCGTTTCGACATTGCAGTGAACTGAGGAAAGTCTAACACTAGATGGCGGGGCCAAAGGAGCCTCCGGGATCTGGGTGCTGATGCGGGATGAAGAGACGGTAGATTGGGAAGTGAAGTCTGCCCAACCCCTCTCTTGCACGCTCCGTCATCTCATTGATTCTGCATGTATTATATATAGATACAGCTTCAAACTCTTATCACTTACTATTCTTGGCCATTGATAGCGGGTGTCAGAATTAGGGTATCTCCGACAAGCGATCTAGACAGAGTGACGCCTCCCCCGGTTATCTGGCTGTTGTCGACGCGTGCCAGATAATGCGAAAACGTAATACAGATTCAGGTCCAAACACATTCTTTTAGAGGATATCCCATTAATAGAACTCGATCGAGTGTGCTATTAGGACAGTGGTGTTGTCCCATTAAGCCAAATCGATTTCGACAGAATTGTCTTACAACTGTCCTATTAGGAAACTAACTTTTGACAGGGGTGTCTTAATACCTGTTGTAACGTCCTAAGCTTGTCACATTTTCGGTTTGTCTGCAAGTAATCTATAGTCCGCGTTTAGGACCAATAAGACGGCTTATAACATTTGTAGGACGCATTGTCTTCTACCGCTTATATATCGTATATTATCGGATTTTCAAGGTTTAGGTCGATGAAAAGGTAAAAACTAAATTAAATATGTTTGCAGCGATTGAAGCAAAATGCAGCGAGATATGCTGCATTTATAACTCGTAGGTGGTGGCTTTACGATAAAGCGCGCGTATAAAATAATGATCCATGATGATTTACAGTAAAGCGGCCAAATTGCGCCATTTTTAGGCACCGCTGAAGATCGTTTATCTGTGCCCGTAGCTGTACAATCAAATTAAGAAATCGCAAACATGAGGTGTTGCTTGCTCGTGGCCACATCGGCCTAATGTTAGTGGATGCCGCGCTGACAGAAGTAGCCAATCAGCGTTCGAAATAGATTATACATCGCACGAGAGCTCCAATCGCAGTGTGTAATATTTCTTCGCGGCAGATCTTATGTAGCCATGCGTACAGGGTTCTACCGAGAATAGCATGCGATGAAGCTTTCTGCACATTGTAAAGCGCAGCTACACATGCTTAGAGCCATAACAGTGCATAAATTGACCGGTACGCATTGTTTTAAAAGGGCTGTGCAGCCTCACCACCCAGTTTACGTTGGAGAGTGACAATTGACCACCATCGGTTCGAGAATACTCCTTTGTATAAAATACTCAGTAATCAAGGGACAGTGTAGATTTGGCCTAGGTATCATTCGTGGCAAGCCACATGATCATTTACGCAGCCTTAGACAGCTATAATCACTTTAATTACAGTTTCGTAGCACATCTTTTCTCTTAGCAAGTGCTCTTATCTAGCTGTGCGCCCTCACAACACCCATCGAGAAGCCCTTGGGGTCACTTCCATACAAACACCCATATTCACCACCTTATGGGTACAATCCATCCATACACACATTTATATATAAATGGTGTCCAGAAGATTTTTCGTGGAGCAAAATGTAGTTATCGCTATAGGAAACCATTTACAGATTGCGATTGGAGCCCTCGCGCAATTTGTAATCTATTCCGAATGGTGATTGGCTACTTATGTCAAAGCTGCATCCACGAACGCTAGGTAGTCCTTGAGATTTAAAGAAAACAAGGAGTGTCCATATACTTTTGTTGCACAGTGTATAACCTGTAAAAGAGCAAAAAAAACGTTGGTACGACATCAACGATTAATGTAGAGTTTATAGGCAAACAACCTATTTCAGAGCCTAATTTTTAATTTGTAGTTTTAACTTGGGTTGGCTACATTTGCAAATTTGTGACACATACAATGTACCGATGGCATCCTCAACTGTTTTTTACGACACAAAGTCCATACCTTAAGGATTTGGTCACATCAGGTCACCAAAGTCGATCATCGCATTATTATTCAACTAGCCGAGCGCCGCAGCAACGCGGCTGTAGCTTAGGTTTTATTCAAGTTTTTTGTCTTCCCGCCTCCGCTTCGCTTCGGATGGATAATTATTTCAAAAACTATGAGCCCCTATGTGCCTAAGTCCACTTCTTTAATTTCATAAATCTGGTTTAATTTAGACCATTCGCTACAAAATGCTTAGTTCCCAGTAAGCCGTGCAATTATTTCAACAAAAACCTACGCACCTAGCATCATACTTAGCATGTTAAAAAATATTTTCATGTTGTGATCTTGACACATTCTCTTTACTATTGTTGGCTTCCTCTGTCAGGATTACCTGCACTTCAAATAGTATGTCTACAAACGCCACACAATAAATTTAACTTTGCATCGTGCTCGATAACATAGGCCGTTTCAGAGCCGCTATGAAACTTAGCTCACATCAATGCAAAGGATATTATTGTAATGGCATGTCCAGTTTCCACTAAGTACCCGTTTGAACTGCCTGTTTGAGCTTGTAATTAACTGAATATTGATCACTTCTCATACCAAACCTTGACGCCTTGCTGTTGTTCTTGTTGACGGCGTTTTTTTTATTTGATAGTGTAACGATGATTCCAGGATGGCTAAACGTCATTAAGGCTTAAAATTTACTAACGTTTCTTTGTGGGGTCTATTTAACCAACTATAATTTTCACCTCTCGTGAATCAAGATTCTTTATGCAATCTTTTTATTATTGCTGGCTATCACTGTATCTTCACCTTCCACCCAAAACCACCAGCACTTCAAATAACATTTATACATACGCTACACAATATGTTTAGTTAAGCGTAGGCCTCGATATAACGGGTTATTTCTAAGCCGCTATGAACTTAGCTCACATCAGCGCAAACGATAGTAATGGCCTGTCCAGCTTGCACTACTTATCTGCCTGTACTGCCTAATTCAGCTTGTAAGTAACTATTAACACCTTGTATCCGAACGGTACTCGCCGCAGACGCGTAAGCGCATGTCGTAAGTTACGGCTTACAGAATCACTCGCATTTTGTAAAGGCCATGCGTTTCATGTCGGGATAGGTGTATAAATTGTCAGCCGTTTTTTTGGCGAATGTCGTAAGTGATACGGCATTGTGATAGAGCACTCGCCGCTAAATGTCGTAACAGAC